TATAAACATAAAAAATACCTAAAAATGGAAAAAAAAGCGCTGCCTGGGCAAAATAATTATTATACATCATCTATACATACATAAATGCAAGCAGTTTGAGGGCATTTACAGGACGAAATGGCCATAAGCATGTAATATTCCAACCATAAATTAACCTTTTTCTTATTCCCTCTTGTCTCTCTTTAAGAAAGGGCAATTTGCCTCTCTGTACGGGTGTTTTCTTTGTCCCAGGAGGCCCTTCCTCTCTCTAACATGTCCCTGTTTGAAAGGGGCAATTTAGAGAAGTGAGGGGTAGATGTGTGTGGATGGAGGGGGTGGCGGATGGATGGATGGCGTTTACTATGACCTCATCCTTCCCTGCGTGATGAAGAGAGAGAGAGAAAGAGAGAGGCAGTCGTAAAACGGCGTCTTTATATACTGAGGTTTTCAGGTTCACATTTAAACATGGATTTGATTCAGCTTCATCTGCAGCATTAACACATCAGTATTAGAGCCTCGAGCAGCACAGATGTGTGTTGGCTGTTGTGTGTGGTAAATGATCAGCCTTGGGCTTCCGTTTTTATGTCTTTCTTTGGCATTCTGTGTGTGTGTGTGTGTGTGTGACTAATGTGTGTGTATGTGTGTGTGTGTGTGTGTGTGTGTGTGTGTGTGTGTGTGTGTGTGTGTGTGTGTGTGTGTGTGTGTGTGTGTGTGTGTGTGTGTGTGTGCGCGCGCTCAGAGCTGTGGAAGCACTACAGTCAGAAGGCGTCTCTGGAGCAGGATCTTCCCGCCGCCACACAGAAGTTTCGCACCACCAACGAGTGTCTGCTGTCGTCTCTGGCGTCGCTCACCAGCAGCAGCGGAAAGGTCTCTACACACGCGCACACACACACACACACACACACACACTCACACACACACACACTCACACACACACACACACACACACACACACTGATGGTGGTGGTGATGGGTTAGTGCAGTGTGTGTTGTTCTCCTCAGATGGCCACCTTCTTCAGCAACAGTCTGGACTTCCTGACCTCGTGTGCGGGCTACAGTCCATCAGGAGCGCTGCTGAAGCCGCTGCAGGCCGACAGCGTGATGCAGAGCAAGAGGAGAGCGGCGGCGTACATCAGCAGCGTCAGGCAGGTCAGTCACACGCGCACACACACACACACACACACACACACACTCGGACTGAACAGCAGCAGGCGGCGTCTCCTCTCTGTAAGTCGGCTCTGTCAGCGGTGTGTGTCGGTTGTGGAGTTCTCCAGCTCCACACACTGCAGGAGAGCCAGCCACCCTAACCTGACGCTCCGCAATATAGACGAGTGTGTTCTACAGCGACATGAAGAGCGCAGCAGTGTGTTCCCTCAGACAGAGCTCAGCCAACACACACACACACACACTCACACACACACACATACTGAGGAGATGCGCTAGTGAGTGGAGTGTGTGTTCTGCAAACGTGCAGCACATCATCATCATCATCATCATCACACTCATGACCTGGACTCTGCAGCTGCTCCTTCATTGAGTGTGTGTGGTGTGTGTGTGTGTGTGTGTGTGTATGTGTGTTTTCAGGCCAGAGCTGAATCAGTGCCGTACGGAGAAGCTTTAGCGAACCGACACATCCTGACCAGCTCCACCGAGAGCAGAGAGGGGCTCATGCAGCAGGTGTGTGTGTGTGTGTGTGTGTGTGTGTGTGTGTGTGTGTGTGTGTGTCTGTTTGTCTATATTTCTGTGTGTATCTGATATGTGTGTGTGCGCAGGTCCTCCAGAGTCAGCAGAAGATCTCTCGGCTGGAGCAGGAGAAGGAGCACTGGCTGCTGGAGGCTCAGCTGGCTCAGGTGCGTCTGCAGAAGGAGAGCGCGCGCATCGCTCAGCTGGAGGCGCAGGTGTGTGTGAGCGCGCCCCAATCACAGCTGTGTGCGAGCGCTGCGGAGTCACCGGTGTGTGTGAGCGCTGCGGAGTCACAGGTGTGTGTGAGCGCTGCGGAAACACCAAGCGAGCCCGCGCTGGCCGACGCTCCGGAGCCGCTGCAGGACACCAGCGTGGTGAGTGTGAGAGAACACAGCGGCGATGAGGATGATGAAGATAGTAATGATGAAGATAATAAATACGGTAATGAGAGTACTAATAGAGCAGTGATGATGAGGAACGTTATGTTATAATGAAAACTCCACAGAGCAGCAGCACATGACAGTAAATAAACGCTCACCCGCGCTGCTGACCGTGATGGTGAGGGCTGTGTTGTCGTCTTTCAGGTTGTATCTCAGCTTTAATGTGCTTGTAAATTAAAACACCGCAGCTGCTCGCCATCACGACAGCAATAAGGTCCATGGACGGCCGATCGCTTTCACTCTAACATGGTGGAATCCTCAGCGGCTGCTGTTCACTGCTGCTCTGGAGCGCTCTGTTCAGGCTTCCTGCTCATTCTAAGCTCTGCCTCAGCACTCTGCACTGAAATAGCAGCATCACGAGTTACTGGAGCATCTCGAGTCATTCTTCCATCTCTCTCTCTCTCTCTCTGTGTGTGTGTGTGTGTGTGTGTGTGTGTGTGTGTGTGTGTGTGTGTGTGTGTGTGAGTGTGTGTGTGAGTGTGTGTGTGAGTGGTTGATCCACTGATCAGGGAAGTTGATTGATCTGCTTTTATTATGTCTCAGTGCCGCGCCGTTGCCAAGCGCCTTGCCATGGCGGAGAGATCCCGTGACACGCTGGGGGAGGAGCTAAAGCTGGCCAATCAGAACATTACACGCCTGCAGGTCAGCTCTTTTTGTGTGTGCGTGCGCGCATGTGTGTGTGTGTGTGTGTGTGTGTGTGTGTGTGTGTGTGGTGACGTGCTCTTCTTCTGTGATGTTCAGGATGAGCTCAGCACCACCAAGCGCAGCTACGAGGATCAGCTGAGTATGATGAGTGATCACCTGTGCAGCATGAACGAGACCCTGAGCCAGCAGCGGGAGACCATTGACACGCTCAAGCTCAGCGCCAAGGTCAGACACACTACTGAGGGCACTTACAGACACCTGTGTTCATCAGACACACTACTGAGGGCACTTACAGACACACTACTGAGGGCACTTACAGACACCTGTGTTCATCAGACACACTACTGAGGGCACTTACAGACACACTACTGAGGGCACTTACAGACACCTGTGTTCATCGCCGTCTTGGTGTGTGTCTTCATGCCTTTACTACACACACACACACACACACACACACACACACACACACACACACACACACTGTGCTTAAGTGTGCGTCTGCTCAGCTGGATTGAGACGTGTGTGGAGTGTGTAGTGTGTGTGTGTGTGTGTGTGTAGTGTGTGTGCTCCAGCGCTCCCTCAAGCCAGCATCTGTTTACATCAGTGTTTGTGGCCCTGCATGATCTGCAGACGCATCGGCTTCATCAGCGCTGTGCTCAACTGTCCAACCCCATACAGCTGTGCTGTAACGCTGCTCTCCTGCTGCTCTCTTACAGGGAAACGCCAAGAAGAACAAGAGCCGATAGTGGACCACGGAGACACGCCTGCCTGCTCACACTACCCACAATCCCTCACACCAGACAGGAAGCAGCTGTGTGTGTGTGTGTGTGTGTGTGTGTGTGTGTGTGTGTGTTGTCTTGTTGATGTGGAGTCACCATTAGCTGTGCAGTAGAGTCTGATGTCAGTAATTAGCCGATCACTCTGATTGATGACTGATGAAGAGCAGCATGAGTGTATTGATCATCTGTGGTCATTGTGTGTGTGTGTGTGTGTGTGTGTGTGTGTGTGTGTGTGTGTGTGTGTGTGTGTGTGTGTGTGGGTCAGGAGCTCTCTCTGTCCTGCACTCCACCATCATCAACTCAATAAAGGATGATTAAAGTCAAAGAAAGCGCTGTGCTCTCCGTGTTTTCCGTTTCCGTGTTCATTTCCCCCGCTATAATGGCTGTCAGGGCGCTGAACCTCCTCCGTCCTCCACATTCCTCGACGCTACTATGACGAAGGATGAGTTCATGAATATTAATTTAGTCTGACGTCATGACCCACCAATGGCGTGTGTTTATCTATGAATATGAACGAGCAGCTGAGGTTTATCTCTTGAATATTAATTATAACATGTGACGTTGACCGGAAGCAGCCCAATGGTTTGCACGCGCCTCATGAATATTGAAATCCGTCCTCCGCCATAGTATCCGCGTCCCGTCGGGATGTTTTGGCTGATTCGCCTCCGCTCCAGTTATTTCTGCCATTTTGTGAAAATACCGTCAGCTGTGGATGAACCGTCTGCAAACAGGAGGTGACACACACACTTACACACACACACACACACTTACACACACTTTACACGTTAACTCTGCAGTTGTTCGGCGATGTTTTGTGTTTCTGCAAACTAAATAAACACGCGCGGAGTTCACCAGCGGCTGCAGAAAGTTGAGCAGAGCTGATGATGAAGAGGAGACCAGATGAAGAGGAGACAATAATGTCAGTTTCAGACTCCAGCAGCTCTGCTCTGCTCTCAACAGCTCAGCAGCAGAGTGAACTCTGACTAAACCACTTTATCCATCAACTTCTTCATCCTGCAGCTCCCCGATGAGTTTCAGATAGTTCAGTCTGAGGAGGATGAAGGTTTACTCATGATGAAGAGTTTATTCAGATGATGAGTGTTTGTTTATTCTCATAATGATGATGATGATGAAGAGTTCTCATGATGAAGTATATTCTGATGATGATGATGATGATGATGATGATGAAGAGTTCTCATGATGAAGTATATTCTGATGATGATGATGATGATGATGATGAAGAGTTCTCATGATGAAGTTTATTCTGATGATGAGTGTTTGTTTATTGTGATGATGATGATGATGATGATGATGAAGTTTATTATGTTGCAGCTCTTCACTGGAGATGAGCTGGAGATGATCAGATGATGCCCAGATCTGCAGCTGATCTTCAGGGTGAGACTCTTCACTCTCGCGGTGCTGTTTCAGTCGGGAACAGCAGGTTCTGAGTCCAGCATGATGATGGAGAGATGGACACACACAAGAGTAAAAGCACTGTAGTCCAGCAGCTCTGATCCAGGCATGATCACAGTCATCTGTGTGTGCAGGAGCCCGGGCCTGTTATAATCAGAGAGTGTTCTTACTATACGTCCTGTGGAGGGTTAGGGCACATTCACATTTATTCAGTGTGTAAAAACAATCATGGAGCATCTTAAAATCATTTCAGAATGAGCAAAACACAAATACAAAACCCAAAACTGCTTCATTATTTACATCACATCACCTATTTAAACAAAACGAGGACTTTAAGAAGAGTTATTAAAGAATCACAGTCCTCAAATAAACAAAATGTGCTAATGATTATTTTAAATAACAAAAATTGATTAAAATCAGGGAAGAGCTTGCAGTGTTGTGCTCAAACTGAACACTGTGTGTGTGTGTGTGTGTGTGTGTGTGTGTGTGTGTGTGTGTGTGAGTGTGTGTGAGTGTGTGTGAGAGAGAGAGATTAACTCATGTCTGTCCGTCTGTGTCTCCGCAGAGGACTGTGCTCAGAGCAGTAAAGCCATGTGCTCCACTAATCATCCAGCGCACTGGGTGACTTTTGAGGATGAGGGCCCCGTCCCCCCGCAGTGCTCTGTCCCTCGGCCCCGGGGCCTAAAGTTGCTCCTGCCGACGGCCCAATGCTGGAGCTCTAATGGCAGCTCACAGGTGCCCACAAACACTCCGTTGGGGGCAGCTCCTCCAGGCACTTCCTCAGGCCAGGGGCCACCTGACGCCTCTGTGTCCCCCACAGCAGCTGACGTTGAGTTGGGGCTCTTCTGGGGAGACGGGGGGCAGAGACGGGACTCCTGGAGCTCCTCCTCAGACTCAGACTCTGGACTCAGCCCTCCTCGTTTCTTCATTCGCTCCAAAGACGGAGCCGAGCCGCCGCAGGACCCGCTGCAGTACTCCTACTCCTATATCTGCCACAAACTGGAGCAGCTGAGGGCCGAGGAGGGCCGTGGTGAAGGGCTGGCCCTAGGCCCCGCAGTGGCCCCCAGACCCCCATCCTCCTTTGTCCCGCAGGGGCTGTTCCTCAGCCAGAGAAGGCCTGGGTGGCCCCTGATGCTGCGGATCCCGGAGAAGAAGAACCGCATGTCTTCACGGCAGTGGGGGCCCGTGTACCTGCGGCTCCTGCCTGGGGCCCTGCTGCAGCTCTTCTACGAGGAGGGCCTGGAGAAACCCTTCAAGGAGTTTCAGTTGCAGGTGCAGTGTGCTCTCTCTGGGCCCGCTCTGGAGAGCTACGGGGAGCCGGGCAAGATCGCCACGCTGAAGGTGGAGCAGGTGTGGTACACGGAGAAGAAGCGGCGCGAGGCCCGGCAGCTGCTGAAGTTCGGCTCCACAGACTATGGGGCGCTGGAGGACCTGCGGGTGTCCCTGGAGGAGGAGCTGGTACGGTTAGGGGCCCCACTGCTCCAGCACCGGCCCCATGAGGAGCAGGAGCTCTTCCTGCAGATCTGTGACCGCGTGTGGATGCGGCAGGACAGCAGTGGCACCGTGCTGGAGAGCTCCGCCATCACACAGCTGCACTGCCTGGCCTTCCTGAACGCGCCGGCCGAGTGTTTCCTGGAGCTGGGGCTCCTGGGTCGGGCCCCTGAGGAGGAGGACCCGCTGTGGATGGAGATCTTGGAGTATCACCTGCACCGCTGCGTGCGGCAGGCTGAGTTTGCGGAGCGGCGGCTGCTGCGCTTCTGTCCTCCAGACGGCTGCCGGGTGGAGCTGCTGCGCTTCCGCACGCGGGGCCTGGCCTGTGGGGACGCTCCACTGAGGGCCCGGGGCATGCTGACGCTGCAGGGAGCCAGTGTGCAGCTGCAGGTGTTCCTCCGCCTGCAGCCCGGCTTCCCCACAGCAGGAGCGCTGCCCGTCTGCAGGAGGGTGGAGGTGCGGGTGCCGCTGCCGGGCGAGTGTGTGCTGGTGCCCGCTGGAGCGTCTCTGTTGCGCCGTCGGCCCCTTAGGGCCCGCATACACAGGAACACCTGCCTGGGCTCCGCTCTTGAGGCCGAGGCTCAGTCTGTCACACACGCGTCTGTCGGCTCCGTCAAATATGAGAACGTGCACCGAGCAGTCGTGTGGAGGATCGAGCAGCTGCCGCCCAAGAATACAGGTGAGAGTGTGTTCCGTGTGTGTGTTCATCAGACGGCCTGTTTCTCCTCTCCTCAGCTGTGTGTGTGTGTGTGTGTGTGTGTGTGTGTGTGTGTGTGTGT